GCTGGGGAGAGATAGCAAGGGGAGAAATGCCAGATGTGGGTGATGGGGAGGAAGGCAGCAAACCACACTGCCATGTGTGTACCTATGCAACAATTTTGCATGTTCTTCACATGTACCCCAAAAGCTAAAATGCAATAAAATAAATAAATGGGGGGGGAAAAAAAAGAAATAAAACAGCATGTTTCACTCTGCAATTCAGCCTCAAAATTAGTTGACTAAAATTTTGTGCTACTACAATTCCAGCATCTAAAATGCAATGCCTCAGATAAATATCAGCCAAGCACTGCAAAGTTTAATTGGAAATGTGTGTTCCACATCTGGTTTCCCTCAATACCATTTAACAAATTAAAATGGTAAGTGGTGTCATCTGCTGTTCCTTTGAGGTTAGCACGAGATGCTGAAGAGTTGCTTGGATTGATTTCTGCTGACATAGTATACAATATGTTACAAAACTGTTCTAAGATTGATTATGGAGGCAAGATGAACTAAAAGTAATTTTTTTACAAAGTGGGTCTAGAGATGTGGTATATAGAGATGTGGTGCTTATTGCACCGTTCTGATTTCTGTCTTGAGTGCTTGTGATACATTTAAAATAAGTGGAGACTTTGAGTAATTATAGTTAAGACAAATATCCATAAATTGTGGAATATGTGATATGTACATTAACACCAAAGCCTCACTGCAAATTCTGAACTTTGTTTTGAACTGTGAAAGTAATACATCATACAGGCTAGTAGGATCTAAAGACTTGATTATCCAGGAACATGACATTTGTATGTAAGGAAATAACCTTTTATATTCTGCTTAAGTTCACAGCAGAAAGAGGCCCAGGAAAAGGGAAGAAGCAAGAGGAAGTACAATTCTTTCATACCTTCCAGTTTGGGCTCAAATTACACAGAGTACTTTGTCATGTCTTCCAAGTAGGTAGCAGGAAAGACAACTATATCACACCAAACCTGTTTGGAAATGAAAGAAAAGCCTCTGTTTGATTCATACATTTATCAGCTTCTTACAAGCCCCTCTCCAGCTGCCATTTCACACTGCTTAGTGGTACACTCACATGAAGTGAGTTTACTGATTTCTATTGCTTCTTTTCTTAGCAAAATAGTACTTCTACATCAGTCCTTCCCGGTTACTCTATATGCATATCTTTATGTCTCTCAAAGGAACATATACCATGTAGCATATAAATTAGGAATTTTTTAGTATCCATTCACAGACTTTGAATTATGGCAGAACTCCATTTCAGCTCCATTCTGGACATATCGGAAAGCAGTGAGAGCGGTGAGATCCACAGGAGCAAGCAGAGAAGTCTCAGAGGAGAGGTCAGACACGCTACCGTGGTCAGAATGCCTTTATGAGAATGCCGCTACACCCGGCTGTGAGTACAGCTGCTGTTGTGAGAATGACGGTGTGATGCTATTTAATCAAGTGTCTCTTGGTAATTCAAAAAGTGGCAATATGCAACCTGGGATTGCATAAGCCATCCGCCTTGCTGTATCTCAGTCTTAGCATCAAAATGAATAATGCAATTGAATAATGCATTTCAGTCTCCTTCCATATCTTACAGTTAAATCATATTTCTTCTCAAAATACTTGCTGCATTTAGGCAAGTTTTTTTTTCTTTCTTTTTTATTTTATTTTTTTATTTTTTTTATTTTTTGGCAAGTTTTTTTTCAATAAGTCTTTACTACAAAAATACCAATAATGTGTCTTTAGGGATTCTCAAGTAATTTTATCTTCATTACTATTTATTACATGTATTCTGATATTTTAAAATTCTTTTAAAAAATTGTGGGTACTTGGGAGGCCAAGGTGGGTGGATCACGAAGTCAGGAGTTTAAGATCAGTCTATGCCGGGCGCGGTGGCTCAAGCCTGTAATCCCAGCACTTTGGGAGGCAGAGGCGGGTGGATCACGAGGTCAAGAGATCGAGACCATCCTGGTCAACATGGTGAAACCCCGTCTCTACTAAAAATACAAAACATTAGCTGGGCATGGTGGCACGTGCCTGTAATCCCAGCTACTAAGGAGGCTGAGGCAGGAGAATTGCCTGAACCCAGGAGGCGGAGGTTGCGGTGAGCCGAGATCGCACCATTGCACTCCATCCTGGGTAACAAAAGCGAAACTCCGTCTCAAAAAAAAAATAAATAAATAAAAATAAAAAATAAGATCAGTCTAGCCAACACAGTGAAACCTTGGCCTCTACTAAAAATAGAAAAAATTAGCTGGGTGTGGTGGTGTGTGCCTTTAATCCCAGCTACTCAGGAGGCTTTGGCAGGAGAATAGCATGAACCCGGGAGGCGGAGGTTGCAGTGAGGCAAGATTGCGCCATTGCACTCCAGCCAGGGCCACCGTGGGAGATTGCATCTCAAAAAAAAAATTGTGGGTGCATACTAGATGTAATATTTATGGGGCAGGCACATGAGATATTTTGCTACAGACATATATTGCATAATAATCATATCAGGGTAAATGGATTATCCATCACTTCAAGCATTTATCCTTTCTTTGTGTTACAAACAATCCAATTATATTATTTTAGTTATGTTAAAATATACAATTACTGTTGTACTGTATTCACCCTGTTATGCTAATTCATTCTATCAAACTACATTTTTGTACCCATTAACCATTCACTCTTCAACTACCTTTCTCAGCCTCTGGTAACCATCATTCTACTGTATATCTCCATAAGTTCAATTGTCTTAATTTTTTAAGCTCCCACTATTCTGATATTTTTTACAAAGATGAACAGGATATGCTTTCAGTTCCTAACATTATTTCATCTTACTTAAAGCAATGCTATTGTTTATAAATACTTGATTCTATAATTTAGAAAAACTGGATATGACATGCCTATAAGACATTTTTGGAGGACTCTGAAAAATCTGATATTAATGAAGCTGCTCTTTTAAGGCTTCTATCCTCTTTGAAAATAAACGAAAATAGAGGTCCCTGAACAGAAATATGTTATGCTCCTGATAGTCTGGAATGCTGAATTATATTGAAAGAAAATATTTACCCTAGTATCTCTTTTTTCTGTTTCACTTAGGAAGAGAGCATTTAATGAATGTGTGGGATTGTTGAAACAATCTTCCTTACTAATACTGTTAGTGATACTCAGAGATTGATATGCAATCAACAGGTTAGTAAGGACATTCTTGCCTTAATTGAAGAGCTGGATTATCTGTCTCAACTCAGAAAATAAAGGAGCAGACCCTAATATAAAGAGATTTCACAGAATACAAGCAGAGAGCACTGCCTATAAAAAAGCTAGACTGCCTGGCTAGAATCCTAGCTCTGCTGCTTACTTGCTATGTGATCCTGGAAGTACTGTCAACTTTAACCATCTTAGCTCTCTTATCTGTAAAATAAGTATATTGTTTGGAAGGTCAAACAGACTATACAGCACTTAGAACAATGTCTGGCCCACGGCTAGCACTCTATAAGTGTTAGCTTTCATTCTTCTCACAGGGTCTGCCACAATTACAGCTCCTTGCAAGGTAAGCGCAGAAAAACTTGAGAACTGGGCAGGCACAGTGGCTCACACCTGTAATCCCAACACTTTGGGAGGCAGAGGAGGGTGGATCACTCGAGGTCAGGAGTTCAAGACCAGCCTGACCAACATGGTGAAACCCCGTCTGTACTAAAAATACAAAAATTAGCCAGGCTTGGTGGCACAAGCCTGTAATACCATCTACTTGGGAGGCTGAGGCAGGAGAATCACTTTAACCTGGGAGGCGGAGGTTGCAGTGAGCTGAGAGCGTACCATTGCACTCTAGCTTGGGCGACAGAGAGAGACTCTAGCTCAAAAAAAAAAAAAGATATGTACCTATGCAACAATCCTCCATGTTCTACACATGTACCCCAGAACCTAAAATGCAATAAAATATATATATATATGTGTGTATATATATATAAACTACATTAAAAAATAAAAAATAAATAAAAAAAAGAAAAAGAAAAGCTCGAGAACCCCTATCCCTGGATGCAGCTTGGAGCAGGGGGAAGCAAGTGATTCCGGAGTGATAGCCCTGCCCAACAGAGATGCCCAGGACTGAATGAATGGATCAATATTCTCTCTTACAAAGCTGAGTGTGTAACACACAGAGTAAGTCAGCAGTTTATCGGGGGGGTAGAATTCAAAAAAAGAAAAGAACAAAGCCAACCAAAACCCACAGAAAAGGCAATGATCAGAAGCCATGAAACAATAAAAGCCAAGAGTAGTCAGAAACCATGAATGGCAAAAGCTAAGAAAAACAATGGAGAGAAGTCAGTTCATTGCTCAGCAGCAGGAATAGCAGCTACAGAGAGTAGCTGAGTCACCAGAATGGTACAGGACTGCAATAGGAATCCACAGTAGCATGAGAACACAATGGCAAGAACTAGTAATATCCCAAATGATTCTACAGATTCATTCCAACAGGGGTGGGGGGACTGGCAGCAAGACAGAAATTTGTCTTCTTTACTTTAACACCCCATTACCTAAGATTCCCTGAGCATGTCATTTTGGCTGGTGATTAGAATGAGCCTAAATAAAGCCTGGCGTGGTGGCTCACGCCTGTAATCTCAGAACTTTGGGAGGCTAAGGGGGGTGGATTGCCTGAGGTCAGGAGTTCGAGCCAGCCTGACCAATATAGTAAAACCCCATCTCTGTTAAGAGGAAGTGAGAGTAATAAGAAAAAAAAAAAAAAGAAAAAATGAAAAAAAAAAAGAAAAAGAAAAAAAAAAAAAAAAAAAAAAAAAAAAAAAAAAAAAAAGAAAGAAGGAAAGA